AAAAAAAAAAAAAAAAAAAAGAACAGATTTCAAGAATGTTTGTGCCTGTTGCCTGGGCCCAGGCCATGCCAGCTTCCTGATCCTTCTCAGGCAGTGTAGATCAAAGTGGCTGCTTCTGTAAATGTGGGTCAGCATCTGGCTTATGGCCACCCAACTTGATCTTGGGCAAAGGATGGGCTCATCTTATAGGAGCTGTTCCCACTCTGTCTCTCATCTGGGAAGAAATTTGCTGACACAGACTTCAGCAGGGTTGAAGAACTGGCAGCTCTCCACCTCCACATCCATCTTTTAAGCAGGGGCAAGAGACTGGGGTTGGGGGTGGTCACTGAGCATGTCCAGCTGCTTTCCTCGTCTTGTTGCTAGGTTTTTCTGGGCCTCAGTTTCCTCAGATGTGAAGAGGTGATAGCACTTGCTGTGTACATGTAAAGATTAAGTCATCAGTGAAGTGGTTCATGCAGGCGTAGTGGTAGTAAGGCTGTGAAGTGTGGCAGCTGATGTTGGTGTTAAAGTTCCTTCATGATGCCAAGAGTGGACCAGTTGCTCTTTGGTTTGGTGGTCAAGATGGCCACCACCAAGACATGACTCAGATGTGTCACTTTTTTGTGAAAAAAATCCTTATAACAGTTGGTTGATGGGAAATTTTTATTGCATGAGTAGTTCTGTTCTGATTTTATTTTGGGTCTCAAAAAAAAATTAGTGGCATTGGAAGATTGAGTCATTTTAAGTAAAAAGTCGGGCTTAGCTGAGATGTGGTCTTTGCCGTATATGAAGTTTTTGGTTTACACATGCAGCCTTCAGGGTGGAGGAAGCTGAGGATCCTCCCCTTGGTTTGTGGACCATCATTGACCCCTCACTGGTCTTGCAGAAAGTGACCTTGGTTCCTCCTGCATCAGGCAGGGGGCTTCTGATCTGGGCTAGTGGTGAGGACATCACACAGCCTCCCAGGAGAAGATAGGGAGGTCTAGATGTATCTGGAGAGTTCCTGGCATTTGGGGCCAATTTTTGGGACCTGGTTTGCCCTGGCTATATGTTGGGGAGCAGGATGGAGGGAGATGAGAAGAGAAAGACCCCAGTCCCACTAGCTGTGTCCTCAGAGCCCAGGCAGGGAGGCCAGGTATGATGTACTTTATCTAGGTGTGAGCAGTATCAGTGGGCTGGGCTGGTTTATGTGGCAGGCTGCAGGGCCGTGTCCTCCCCTCCCTGTCCGCTGTCATCCTCATCCCTTTGAAGTGGGGTGGTCTGTATGCTGGGAGCCTTGGGGGGCTCTGTGCTGATAAGGATATAGGCTAATGCTCTGTGGCTGGGGGCCTTCTTCCCACCTGTACCTCCCTGCCTACCATGGACACAGACCCTGGGCTACTCACACCTTTCCCTCTTCTGGGAGAAGTTTTTTTTTCTCCCTTTGCCAGGCCTTGGACTCTTCTTGGTGAGTGCTCCTCGAAAGGCCCCTGGCTCTCAGAGGACACTCATTTCAGGAACAAGTGAAGTCTGGCTTACAGTTCAGCCTGGCTCTTCTGACTCTCTTTAAGGCTTGGCTTAGTGGGAGGCAGGCAGAGAAGATGTGCACACAAATCTCAGTAGGCTTGTCCTGTGGTCCTAGAGAGGGTGTGGCTCAGCAGCCTTCAGCCCCCCTGGAGGTGGGCCAAGCTGGGGGGCCCGTGGGCCAGCAGGTTCTGGCAGGGATAGACCAGGGCCTTCTAGCCCCCTTGGCCTCACCTGGCTTCCCAAAAGGAGTTACCATAATGGAGGCTCCCAAAGGGATCTCAGCTGTGTCACGGGGCCCAGCATTTTGGGGACCTCCATATTGGTGGGACATTTTTGGATATTTCGTCTGCTGCACATATGAAAAGGGCCTGGTGGGAATGAAAGGTCTCCCAGGAGAATCCCCCCAAGTGGTCTGACAGCCAGTCTGTAGGAGATGCTGCTGGATAGGCCTTGGGCACACTGTGTAGGTCTGGGCCAGCCGGTTGCCAATTTCTCTTTTACATGTAGGGGTTGAGGATGCTTTGGAGACCAGCCTGAGAGCCCATGGGGTCCACGCCACCAAGCATGCATCCGAGAAGAGGCCTGTGCCAATCCGAAGGAAAAGGAGCATCGGTGAGTCCCAGAAGGCTGCTGTAGGTAGGGGCAAGGTGGGGGCAGGAGCTGGCCTGACTCCCCAATTCTAGCCCCAGGCACCTCTTCCCTCCTCTGTAAGGCAAAGTCTTGGCCTGCCAGGCTCCATGTCTCTGGCCTCTTGGGGCCTCCTTCCTGATGGGGTGTCTCCCGCCCCAGCCTTCCTGCTCCTGGTGGAGTTGTGGTCCGGGCCAAGAGTTTCCAGGAGAGAAGAACCGTCATAAATTCCTTAAGTGCCCGATCTTGTTGGGGCCTGCCCTGAGGAGCCTTGCTGGGAACGTGGTCGTGCTGAATTTTGAATTGGCTTTCTGCTGGTGCAGGCGTGCCTGCCTGGTGGGCTGCTCTCGGATGCCCCCCGTGGCTCTCTGTACCTGGCCCACTTCCTTCTAGCTCTAGAACTTGGCCAATGGGTTTGGGGTATATTTTGGTTCTTCCCCTCTCATAGGACACCCTATATTCCTCTGGGTCCTTGAGTGGAACTAGATGGTTGGGGTCTTAAGGGCCTTGGTCCATTTTCTTGCCAGAGAGGGAGGGTGGGGGGATGTGACCCACCAAATTTCACACTCTCTGGCGGTTCCGAGTCTGCTTAAGATAGCTGCCTAGGTTTGTGGATGCCACTCTCTGGCCTTTAGTTTCCCTCAAGAAGATGGCCTATGTCTTCCACCTTTACATGTGGCATGTGGCCAAATGATTCCTAATTGCTGCAAGAGGGCCCTCCCCAAGCAACGTTTGTTGTGGCAGTCACATGGTTTACACCCTCAGACCAGTTTTGGTCAGGGCAGGCCACCACTGGAATCGGAGTCCAGATGGCAGGGAATGTCCATGCAGGCTCTGGGTGGCTGTTCCACAGCACCCCTTCCCAACCTCCCCTCTGGACAACTCAACTGTTCCCTGTGGGGAAGGAGTCCCAGCCTATACACACCTCACCCTTGTGGACTAGGTCCTGAGGGAGGCCACAGCAACTTCATGGCTGCTGTCTCTGCCAGGCTTCTGGTTATCCCAGGCCAGTGTGGGGCAGGGTCACTGAGGTGGGACCTCGTGCCTGGGGCGTGCGTGCGATGCTCTGTACTCAGCGCACTCCTGCCTTTGCAGAGGAAGCTGTCCCCGCAGTCTGCAAGACCAGGACAGTCATTTACGAGATTCCTCGCAGCCAGGTCGACCCCACGTCCGCCAACTTCCTGATCTGGCCGCCGTGTGTGGAGGTGAGGCGCTGCACCGGCTGCTGCAACACCAGCAGTGTCAAGTGCCAGCCCTCGCGCATCCACCACCGCAGCGTCAAGGTGAGCCCCAGCCGCCCCTGGGCCACCACCCTCCCGGGGGCAGCCTCAATCCCTTCTAGGCATCAGCCTGACACTCCTGCTGGCTGATGGAGTGGTTGGGTGGCTGCGCTCCCTTCCCTGACAGGTACACTAAGGCACAGGGCGGGGAGGGACACTGGGCTGTGCAAGGGCCTTGCCGTACTGGTGGTTCTTACAGGGTGTCCAGCCACTGCATTGGGAGCTGCTGGCACTCCCAGACCTTGAAGAGCAGGCCCCTTGGCAGTTGTGGGGAATCGCCAGAGGGGTCAGGGTCCCCCATCTATAGAAGAATCTCAGGGCTTTGGGTCCCTGGGCAGGTTACTCTTTCTGCACGTCGGGAGTGGTGCCTGTCATGTTTTGGTTGGACTGATGTACCAGAATACCATAGATAGAGAGCTGATAAGCAATAGAAATTCATCTCTCAAAGGCCTGAAAGTGGGATGTCCAAAATCAAAGTGCTGGTAGATTTGGTATCTCATGGGGATCCATTTCCTGTTTATACAGAAAGCACCTTCTTGGTGTGTCCTCTCATGGTGAAGGGGCGAACAAGCTCTTTCAAAAGAATGCTAATCCCCTTCATGAGGGACTCATCTCTTAATGCTATCACCTTGTAGGTATGGCTCTTGACACTAAAATGTGGGGGACATAGACATTCAGATCAGCACCCTGGGGTGCTGTAGGAGGGAGGGGCCCAGCACTTCTTAGGAGGGTCCTCCTCAGGTCTGGGCTGCACACCAAGCCGCTTTCCCAGCCCTCCCCACTCAAGAAGGTGTGCTTAGGGAGTTAGGGGCTACTGGGACCCAGGAACTAGGGCAGGCACACAGCTGGTGCTGACCAAAGAATGCTGTCCCTGACAGGAGCTAGCTGGCATGACCTCTGGGGCAGTGCTGGGAACTCTGTGAGTCCTGGGGACCATCTTGCTTCTTCAGGTTCCTCCAGGCAGCCTGTGGGGCCTGTGGCTGCTGGGCTTGGGTTGCTCCCCTTGAGCCTCGTTTTCCTCATGGGTCTGTGGCAGGCAGGAACTAACAGCCTCAAGACCTGAGTTGCTGGCCCTGTTGTTGGGATAGGTGGTCTCCCTGTCTCTAGAGTCTCTGTCCATGTCTGAGGTTGGAGAGGAGGTGTCTCCTGGCTTCTGAGCTTTCTTGCGGCTCCCCTGGGTACTAGCTCTTGTGGGGTCAGCATGTGACTGCAGGTATAGGCATATCTTGTCTGTAGGGACATGCCTCCGTGCAGAACCTCGGGCCTCGGCTTGGCCTCTCTTCCTAGAATAGGGATCACTAAAATTGGGCTTGAGGAACTCAGCTCTGGGGGTTACATTAGGACCCCTTCTCTGACTCTAGAAGATAATTTTCTCTGTCTTGCTGTGACCCCAGACCCTAGAGTGAGATACTGGGAAGAGTTTTCTCGATGAAGGACCTCGTAGCTAACAGGCTGTTTATTTGTCACGTGACCAGGCACTTTGGACCCATAACTGGGACTTATCTTGACCTCTGGGGACTTGGTTCTCTGCAGTGCTGGGGTATTGAGTAAGCAAATTCCACATCTCACTGCCCCAGGATCTCCAAGTCTGGACACTCCCCTTAAAAAGCCCCGCAGTTTTCCCTGGGCCCTGGGGGTGCTTGTCTAAGGCCTCTCTTGTCTTCAGAAGCTGTTTGTGGATCCTCTTGGGAGAAAAGCCTAACTCAGGACTCCACGCTGGCTGGGGGGACCCTAGGCTCTGTCCTCTCCCCAGTGTTCACTCCCCTGGGGATCTATAGCCACCTCCTGTGTGACTGTGACCCAGCTTCTGCCTTTCCTAGGGTCCTCACAGGTGGTATATTGGGGGCCCTCCTGAGACCAAGAGCCCAGCTGATTGTGGTCTTTTTCTCTTGGGTGTTAGAGGAGTGTGCTCTTGGGTGGATGCTCCCACATGTCAGCTCTGGGAGCTGAGGGGTCATCCTTTAGATATCTGAGATGGGACTCTAGGAGGGATGGGGTGCTGTCTTAAAGTGGGTGACATAGGAAAGGCCCCAGTGGGGGCTTTAGCTTGCTTCCCCTGGGGTGAGGACAAGGACTGTCTAGTTTTCCTGAGCATACTGGGTGTGGTCCAGAGGTCTTGAGCTGGTATCCAGCTCCTCAGGGCCCTGCTCAGCTCATAGGGGCCCTGCTTCTTCTGGAAGGTGACCCCTACTCTGCTTTGTGCATGTGGAGCTGGGACCTGAATCTCAACCACAGTCTCATCGGCAGCCCCAGGGGAGGGCCCCTCCTAAGGTCACAGGCTATGCCCTGCAGCGTAGCCAGGCTGCTTGGCGCCCGTGTTCTCCCCCTTTGGAAGGCCTCTCCCTGCCTGCCCCATCAGGGTTGGAGGAAAACATCCGGTCCCAGACACAGGGGGCTCTGGCAGAGGGACAAGAGTTTGGGGGATAGAGGGGCCCATTGTGGAGGCCTAGTTGAGGGCTGGTCCCACTCTATTTGGGATTGAGGCAGATGTCAACCTAGAGAGGATATGGGCCAGAATCCCGGAATCCCAGACTCCGAGCCTGTGGGCGAGTGCAGAGGTCAGCAGGGTCTGAGGCTGGGAGTGGTCACTGTGGCAGCCAGGCTGGTGAGCTGTCCAGCACACGCTCAGTGGAAGTCAGCCCCAGGGACCCAGGCCCAGGGTGTCTGATGGACATGATGGGTGGAGAGCCAGACCTCAGACTTCCATGAGAATACTGTCCTTGTGCTGAGGACCTGGATGTTTTGGTGACCACCCCCGGGTCAAGACTGGGATCGCAGATGTAGGTTGTCTTAAGGTCAGGGTCCCACACTGGCTCCCTTCTTTCTTTCAGGTGAATCCAGAGCAGAGGCTTCACCCCAGGCCCAGACCTCAGTGCAGGCACTGCTGGGTCACCACATTGAGGCTGACCTTCAGCTTGGGGCCACAGCCTGGTGGGATTTTCTTGTACCCTGCTCTGCATGGTCAGCACTTGGTGTCTGGTCCCTGGGTGTCCAACTCTTCCTCCACACTTGAGCCACAGCTTTGGAGTGGGAATGTGAGGGTTAAGCTGCCTAGCCCCCGAGGGCTGTGGGAATCTGACCTGGGTGGAGCTGAGGCCAGAGTCCTATTCTAGAGCTTGGGGAGAGTGAGGAGAGTGTTATGGCCAGGGCCTCTGGCATGCACCCCACTCACACCTGCCTGGACAGTGAGGGCAGAGCAGCTCCAGTGTTGTTTTGGCTGAGGGGGGTTCTTTGCCCAGCTTAAGATTGGGTTGAGCGACAGGCTCCTTGTCTCTCCCCAGAGACTGGGTAGGCGAGGGCTGAGGCTCTGCTCATTCCAAGTCCAGGCCCCCTTCTTTTGAATGAAGGGAGAAGTGGACTTAGTCTGATACTGGGGACTCAAAGCTACATGGTGCTGGGCAGGGGCGTTCCCTTGTCTGTGCTGTTCATTTCCTAGTTTGTAAACCAGACCCTAATTGTGTCCTCAGGTGGCTTAAGGGTTATAGTGGTGGGCACCTGGATTATGTAAGTGGTATTTTTATCCTGGCTGATACTCTCTTTTAAGCTCTGGAGTGGTCAGGCATGACCTGGAGTTGGGGTATGGGTATAGGATGTGTCTGTCCCCAGCCCTCCTTGGGGCCTGTGCCAGAGCTGAGGGTTGGCTGGGCATGCCAGGTGTGGAGCGAGGATACAGCATAGCTGGGTGGTCTCCTGGGGTGAATGTGTCCTGGGGAGTGTCTAGGAGAGTCAGCCAACAGCACAGTATATTCAGGAGTGGGGCATGGGAATGTCTGGAGTGATAAGGTACAGCCCACAGCCCACATGCCTGGACTGGGGAGGGCAAGGCAAGGGGGACCCTGTGAGGCCACTACAGGAGCTCTTGAGGACGTCTCTGTTCTTCGTATGCACTTGGCTTTCAGGGAAGAGGTTGTTTTTTTTTTGTTTTTTTTTTTTTTTGAGAATTTAATATTCATAATGTGTTTTTGGGGGAAAAAATGTAGTTATTTCCTGGCCAGACAGAGGTGGTGAATGGCCTGGAATCCTCGCATACTCAGAAGCAGGTGCAATCATAAGTTGTTGTTTGTTTTTCTTTGATAAAAAATGGGCTTGTCTGAAGAGAAAGTGGCTTCCAGACTGGAGCGGCCCATGTAGTGTTCCCTTCCCACAGGGACCTTGGTGGACAGCATTTCTTTAGTGTCTAGAGTCCACTTTCCCCACGGTGGCCCACCCATCTTGTAGAAAAGAACAAGTTGCTGCCTCAGCTGAGCTTCTGGTGTCTGGCCAGAGGCCCATGGTCCCTGCAGAGGGATCTAGGTGAGGCTGCTTGTTGACCAAAGAGGCTGTGCCAGCTGGTGGGCCAGGACCAGGAGCAGAATGAGTGGCTTGCCTGAGCCCAGAAATCTGACCCCACCTGCAGCCAGGTGGGTAGGAGTTTGCACAGTATGAGGCTGTCACTTTGCCACCTGTGGCCCATGTCTGTGGCCAGCACCCCAGGAAAATGGTTAATGGGGCTGGGCTCCATCCTGGGTGGACTTAGAGTTCTTGGTTCATGCAGGGTGAGGGCTGGGCCAGGGCAGCTACTGCAGCCTTCTTAGGATTTGCTGAGGTTCACTGTCAGGTATACTCTTCTGCTCAGGACCCTTAGTGGATGGTCACTCTGGGACCCTACTTTCTGCCTGCTGGGGGTCACTATGCTGAGCTTGGGGACTGTGAGTGGGGCCACCAGCCTCAGCCTTCCTCCAACTGGAGCTGGGGCTGCTTTTGATTGGTTGCACTCTGTGAAAATACCCACTGCAGGAGTGGTGGGCTCAGTCCCCAGGGGTCATGACCTCTCATTCCTCCCCACACCCTGGGCATGGTCTGTGCCCTCTTTGTGCAGAGGGGGTGATAGGCCTGGTCTAAGGGCCCCATGGGCACAGGTGCCTGTACCCATCCAGGTGGCAGTTGCACAGGCAAGGCCAGGCAGCCCCAGCCCCATCTCTTGCACTTTCTGACGTAGTGAAACCTCCCATGCTGAGGCCTCACTGCTGGGCGGGCTCCAGGTGCTCCATTCCCCACACCTGAGCGCACACCTGGGTCTGTGTTCACACCCGAGACAGCCCATAGCACCTCACACGCTTGCTGGGTGCCCGGCACCCTTTGCACCATAAGTTAACCATTAATGTGGCCAAGGCAGCCACACAGGGTCTGGAGGAGCCTGGTCCCCAGTGCCTCAGGGGCCGGCTTCACTGTGCAGTGTACTTACTGTTCCAGGGTACAGGGCTGAACCCTCTATAAGGGGGTGGGGCTCTTGGTCTCTGGTCCCCTAGAAGGCAGGGCCCTCTGGGCTGGAGCTACCTGATCCCAGCCTGGGCCACCTCAGTGTCACCTGGTGACCTCCTTTCTTCCACTTCCATGTGCTTGGGGGTCTCCCAGGGTCTGCTCCCCTTCTAGTCTCAGTTTCCCAATGGATAGTCAGAGGTGAAGCAGGTGATTCCTGCTTAGGCTGTTCTTAGGAGTTGGAACCCAGGAAAGGTGCAAAATTGGTAGTATGCAGGCTCTGCAGGGCCTAGAGAGGGCAGAAGGGTGGTGGGTGCTTTCCTCTAGGAGGCCCCCAGTGGTAGGCAGGATGCAAGGTGGTTGGGGCAGTCTCCAGCATCCACATGCTAGCCCTGCCTCTCCTGCCACTGGGGTCGTCTTGGGGAAGAGGCTGGTTGATACCTCAGTTTCCTTTCCTATAAATAGAAGCGATAACTGTCTCCTACAGGGTGTTTAGAAGTTGGAAGGTTGGAATTTGGGCTCATAATTATAAGGAAGGTGTCATGGGCTGCAGGTGGCAGAGTGCCAGCCTCATACCTCTACTTGTCTAAGGGCTAGGACCCTCTTCTGTTACTCTTGGAGAGAGGGCTTCCCCTCTTGGGGCCTAGCACGATGCTCACTGTGTATTAAGTGATTGTTGCTCTCAGGTGTGCATGTGCGCTTTGTGTATATTATATATGCATGTGTGTGGAGTGGAGTTGCACTCCCATGAAGGGTGTGTGTACATTATGTGTGCATTTTGTGTGTGGGTGGAATGTTCCCATAATGGGGGTGTAGTGTGTTATATACAAGAGGGTAGGGGGTGGATTTGCACTCCCATGGCAGGATGTGCTGGTTTGTGGTGGGCTCTGAATGCTCAGGACACCTGCCTTCCATTCCTGAACACCTGGAGGCTGTGCCTTAGGCCCTCTTGGAGTCAGGCCCCAGCACTGAGGGCTGATGTGGCCCACAGATAGCAGCCTTCAGTCTGTAAAGGGGCACTCAGCCAGGTTCTGGCATTTGAGTCACTATGCCTTGAAGCCTGGTCGTCCTGTGCATCCATTGTGTGCAGCTCCTGTGGTGGCCTGGGGTGCCTGGCCTGTATCCCTGAGAAGACCAACTATCTTAAGCCCAATAAGTTTGGGCCTGGGCTGGGGCTGCCTGGTGGCAGTGGGTCCTCATCAGATCAGCAGCCTAGGGTCATTGCTTGAATTCTTGAGCCCAATAACCAGTGTCCAACTCAAGCCTCCTCCAGGGGCTCTTAAGGCTGCATTTGTTTTTCTTCTTGGATTGGGTAGGAAGGGGCGGCCATCAAGCAAGCACAGAGCAGTGAGTTCTCTTCATCAAGCAAGCGCAGAACAGTGAGTTCTCTTCAGGGCTTGGCTTTGTTTCTTTGTAACAAAGCACATCTGAAAACATTTCCCAGCTGCACATACGTGTACAAGCACACGCATTCCCTGGATGCCTGTGCCTAGAACCCCCAGCTTTGCTGTGTGTACACCTTCCAGACCCCCACGGCACTTGTGAACATTTGTGTTCATTTTAAAAACTGGGACCAGGTAACATGGGTAGTGTGCTATAGCTTGTGGGTTTCACCTGGTAATCCCTTCCCACTAAGGTAACACTCCTGAGAGGAGGTTGAGATCGAAGATTAGTTCCCCTACATTGTTGTGCTAGCCTGGGTCTGGGCTGAGCGTGACCTCAGCTCCAGTCACCTTGTGGTGTCTGAAGCCCCATGTAGGTGTTCATGGCTGGGCTCTGTTTTCTTGGGCAGGTGGCCAAGGTGGAATATGTCAGGAAGAAGCCAAAATTAAAAGAAGTCCAGGTGAGGTTAGAGGAACACTTGGAGTGCGCGTGTACCACTGCCAGCCTGAATCCAGATTACCGGGAAGAGGATACAGGTGAGTGGTTGCCACTGAGCCACTTGGTGGCCTTGCTGAGGACAGTTGTGCTCCTGCAGATGTGGGCTCAGGGTGGGAGGAAGGTCAGGCTGGGCTGAAACGTGCTCAAGTGCTCAAGCTGCCTGGAGGTTGGTGGGCCAGTGGGCCAAACTAAGAAGTAGCCGCAGGACGCTCCACCCAGAGGAGCAGGGGGAGGTGGCTGTTCGTGCCCGGAGCACCGTCAGGGCGGGGCCCTGCTATGCTGGGGCTCCAGGCACACAGGGGACTCAAGTTTCTCCTGGAGTGATGGAGTTTCTTTTAGAAAGATAAACACCTCAGGTATTTATTGCCTGGGCTCCCCAGCCTGGCAGCTTTCCCTCAGGCCCACTCACTGCCCTGCCCTTTTGTTAACAGGAAGGCGTAGGGAGTCAGGTAAAAAACGGAAAAGAAAAAGGTTAAAACCCACCTAAAGCAGCCAACCAGGTAGGACCTGACCTCTGGATGTGCTGAATGAAATCCTATAGGGCTGGGAGAGGCAATCTCGGATCACTCCTTCAAATCATGCTTCCCGTTGCAGCGGGCCGTGCCTGGGGCCGTGATTGGCCTCAGTGGTTCTGTGGCTTCCGGTGCCTGCTGGGCTCGGGTCTCCTTGCTCCCCATCCCTTCCCCCTGCACACAGAACCTTGATCCATGGCTCACCTCTGCTCTGGAGCCCCTTCTAGCTTGGTTCTTCTCTTTGTCACTGATCGGGGACACAGAGGCATTACAGCGAATGGAATAGTTTGGGTTTCCTGAGCAGCAGTGGGATAGCTCTGACTACTGACTACTCTGGGACCTCCTTGGGCAGGTGGGTCCACCCCATCTGACAGATGTAAAAACTGAGGCTTAACAGAGACTATGGATAGGTGTTAGTAGCTGAAAGATCTAGAAATACTTCATAAATCTACGTGGTTATTGGCTACTGTGTTGGAAATTGCATTTGACTGGTAACACTGGAAAAAACAGGAATGATTGAGACAAAGTAGAAGTTAAGCTCAGGACTCCCATGTTCATGGGATAGGAGACCAGAACAGGCGGGATAGTCTCAAGGGATTACCAGGGACCACTTCCATCTGAGGCTAGTTGCCTCCATCCTCAGAGTTGTCTCATGGCTCAAGGCGGCTGCCAAAGCTCCAGTAATTACAGTTGTGCTCTAGGCTGACAGAGAGCAAGAAGCAGAGAAGGGCAGAGAGCCCCCTTTTAGAGAGCTTCCCAGGAAATCCCACTTCCTTTTTTGTTTTTTACATCTGCTGTCCTTTAGCTGTAAGGGAACTTTAGAAATGGCTCCTAGGAAGGCATGTTGCTTCTCAGAAGAAAGTGGGATTTGGACAACCACAGCCATCATGGAGGAAGCATTTTCAGGCCTTCTTGGTCCTTCCTCCTGGCATATGGGACACTGTGGCATCTGAAACAAATAGTCGCTTTGGAATAGGGTCAGAGATAGGGTGTCTGAGAGAGCCCTGGCTCCTGTATGGCAATGTGTGATTTTGATACCCAGGGTCAGGGCCATTCCTGAAGATCTTTGGAGGGGAATCTTCGTAGCTAGCCCATAGTTTGGTGGGTGGTTTTGTGCCCGCCTGTGCATCTGGGCTATGCAGAGCGTTGGGCTGTAGCCACCTTGGAGGGAGCCCTCCCACCAGTGAGGGAGCCATTTCTGCTGCCTGGCTAGCATCTAGGCTGTGGACCTGTGGGTAGCCCGTGTGTGGGAACATGCAGTGGAAAGATGACACAGAGTGGGAGAAGAGCTGTTCTAAGGTATTTAAGGTAGCTGTGCCTGGTCACAGGGGATCCGTCTGTCTGTGGCTGTTGGCCACACTCTTCTGGGTCACCTTCTGGCTCAGAATGGCTCCCAGAGCTCCAGAAATCACATCCAAGCCCTAGGGTGGAAGAAAGAAATGAAGAAGGGCAAAGGAACTAGTCTGGGCCTCAGTTTCCCCCATCTGTACAATGGGAGAAAGGGGCTTGCTCTCAAGACATGTTCTGTGACATGCTGTGAGCTTAGTCCCTACCCTAGTGAGGATATTGCAATGTGGCTAATATGCAAATTTGGTTTTTGAAATTTCATGAAAACTTTAAATTCCTGTGTGCCCCTGATTGGGTAAAACATTTCACCCCGTTTGCCTTCTGTGCAGCTATGTGTGTGCTTGGTGGTTCCATCTCGGTGGTCTTAGTGTCTGTCTCTCTCCCCTCCCTGCAGATGTGAGGTGAGGATACGCCCGTAGCCCTTCCCTGGGACATGGATGTACATGGCGTGTTACATTCCTGAACCTACTATGTACGGTGCTTTATTGCCAGTGTGCGGTCTTTGTTCTCCTCCGTGAAAAACTGTGTCCGAGAACACTCTGGAGAACAAAGAGACAGTGCACATTTGTTTAATGTGACATCAAAGCAAGTATTGTAGCACTCGGTGAAGCAGTAAGAAGCTTCCTTGTCAAAAAGAGAGAGAGAGAAAACAAAACCACAAAACACAACAAAAACAAAATGGACTCACAAAAGTATGTAAACAGTCCACGGAACGGAGGGTCGCCCTTGCAGGATGGAAGTGCAGAGATCTCAGCAGACTGGATTTCTGTCCAAGCGGTCACAGGTGCTTTTTTGCCAAGGACACAGAGCCTGCTTTCGGAATGACTCCAGAGGGGTGCCTGTGGGCTCTGCAGGGCACGCAGGGAGCAGGAATGTCTCAGAAACCACCATGCGAACTTTAGAAACCACACCTCCTCGCTGTAGTGTTTAAGTCTATACAGAAACCTTCCTGAGAGCCTTAAGTGGATTTTTTATTTACACCATAAAGTGATTATTAAGCTTTCCTTTTTACTCTTTGCCTAGCCTTTTTTTTTTTTTTTTTTTTATTATTATCTCTTGGATGACATTTACACCAATAACACACGGGCTGCTGTAACTGTCAGGACAGAGCGACGGTATTTTTCCTAGCAAGATGCAAACTAATGAGATGTATTAAATAAACATGGTATACCTACCTATGCATCATTTCCTACATCTTTCTGCTTTGTGTTTCTCCCTTACTCCACTTTATTTTATTTTTTAATTTAAGCCATTTTGAGAGAACTATGCGTAAATCAATCGTATGCCGTCTCTGTGGCTCCTGCCCCAGAGCCCCTGTTCCTTGCTGAGTGATGCCACATTCCTGTTACACGCACCATGGAGTGCTGTGTTCCTGAGTGTGGCAGGCGAGATGCTTTGCTGCTTCAGTCTGTTGTTGACGTGCCACCGCAGTGGAGGTCCCTCCCTGCTGCTGCCAGTGTTTGGACAGAGCCTAAATTCTTTATTTTTGGTAAGATGTTATGCTTTATGTGTATTAACAGAAATGTGTGTTTGTTTTAATTTTTTTTTGTAAAGGTGAAGTTTGTATTTTTATCTAATATTACAGTTTTATATACCTGAGAGCCTGCAATGTTTTTTTTTGTTTGTTTTTTTGATCCATTTTTTTTTTTTTAAATCCCAGCAACAAAAAACCATGCACATGAAAAGCATTTTGTAGTCACATTTTACTAGTACTAAGTCTAGACACCCCCCCACCCCCCACCCCCCCAGTCCCTGGTTGCACAGCGCAGCGTCGGGTAGAAACTCGGAGCTCAGAGCTTCCTGGGCTAGGGCCCGGACCTGCCCCCACAGTGAACACTCTGGGACACTGGGCCTGCCCTCAACGCCAGGAGCTATGGATACAGACCAGAGAGCCCCGTCCTGAGGGTCGCCCACTGCAGCAGAGCAGTCAAAGGGATGAGAAGGAATCACACCCAGAAGAGAGCTGACCTGGTTGTGTCCACTCTTGGGGCCCTGCCCTGCCTGGCTGGCCGCCCCCACCCTGGCACCTCAAGGCTGATGTGACCGTCAGGATCCTTTGGATCTCAGCCCTGGTTGCTGTGGGACTATCTGCAGGACGGTGGCCATCACACATGTTCTTCAAGAGGGTTTTTATAAAGGACTGTCTCCAACAGCTCATCTTCGTGGCAGTGTTCAGGCCTTGGTCGGACGCTCTTCAGGTGGGCAAAAGATGGCCTGGAGGTCAGAGGGGATACGCAGGGCCAGGTGGCCACGCCCCACCCCCTTCACCACGGACAGACCCGAGGGGCCCTGCCCTAAGCCCTGTATGCGCTGCCAAGCGCTTCACCCATGAATGTACGTCTGGCGTGAGGTGTGCGAACATGTAATTTATGTATTTGTGTTTCCGTGAGATGCTGATGATACTGCTCATATTTTCTTATTTTGCGCAAAGCCGTCTGGTGAATTGCTGTGTCCATTAAAGCGATGGAGCAGAAAGCCTGGTGTGCTCTTGGGGAAGAGAAAAGCCAACAGGACAGAGGTCCCTGAGCCCCTGGGCAATGGCTGAGTGCTGAGAGGCCTGCTGGTGTCTCCTTTCCTCCCTCCCTCTTTAACTCATTCATTCGTAGGTGAGGGCTGTGCATGGGGAGCAGGTAGAATGCGGCCTCTCCAGCCAGGAAGGGTTGGCAATGGAGGCTGCGGTCTGCAGCTGGCCTGTTTCTCAGCTGTGCACCCACGCCCGCCGGCAGCCTTTGTTGTGGCTCTGCCCCACATTCCCAGCATTTCTGCCCCTGCCTGGGCCCCCTCCTGGCCCCATGGCCCTGGACTGCACCTGGGTGTGGGCCCAGAAGACAGATTTCTGTTCAGGGGTGACTTTTTGCATCTTATGAGCCCTGTGACCTTGAGTGCGGGCCCTTCTCTGCACCTTGGTGCACATCTGTAAAATGGAGCCCCCGCTCCATGCACAATGGGGGCTATGCTTGTTGACCCACTTGGGCCTAGTGCTGTGACCTGGGAGCACATTAACCCTATCTGTCATGCCTCTAGGCCCTGACACATCATGGAACAGAGCCCTTGGGTGCAGGGTTGCCAAGCTGCTGAGACCTGAGTTCCCCTGGCCACACCTTGCCCTTGCCAGAGCTCATGAGATCCGTATTCCAGCCCTGAAGGGCTCTTTAGCTTGAGTGTTTCCCTTTCTTTGTCCAGGCCCGGGTGTCTTTGTCTGTAAAGTGGGTTGGCCCTGCCTGGATCCCCTGGCAGTCTCACCCTCTAGCCTCAGCACCCCACAGCTGTCTGGGGACTCCCTGCGGCAGGTGTGATGAGGTCAGGTGTGGCTCAGATCTCTGTTTTCCTGTCTGGCTGCAAGTCTGGGCTGCTCCTGAGTACTTGGAGGCTTCCACACAAGGCTTAGATTCCTCCACAGACCCTGGGGGTGGGACTTGAGGGTGTCACTCTCATTTTAAAGAGGTGAGACCTGTGTCCTTGGCTTGCCTTGATGCCTGAGGGGGACACACAGCAGACCAATTGTGAGAATACTGAACAGTTCTCAGGAGCGTATTGAGTTTTTCCTTGCTGGGTCGGTCTCCCTAGCCCCTAGGTGTGTGTGGCTGAGACATCCCAGGCAGTGCTGCGGCTTTGTGTCCCCAGATAGCAGGGCTCTCCTTGGGCTGCGTGTGAGACCAGATAATCCAGGTTCAGAGATTTACATCTTCACTTTCCTTGAAATGGGGCCAAGGTAACGACAGCACAGATGGAGGGTCACCCTGGCTCAGGGTAGAGGAGGAAGAACAGGGATTGGATTTGAACTCAAGACCTCTGGCTCTGGAATCCCTGCCCATAAGTTTCCTTGAAGGGCCCCCCTCCCCCCACCAGAGCACCTGACTTGATATCCTGATCTGTCAGGGCTCACTGGGCACTCTAGGCAAGAGGCTAAGGGATTGTGTAGAGGAGACAGAACCTACTTCCAGCTCCTGGAATGCTCTGAAGTTGGTGGGCGTCTCCTGGGGACATCTTAGTATTTCTTCCCCCCAGGACAGTGGTTCTCAACCTTTCTAATGCTTCCTAATGCTGCGACACTTTAATACAGTTCCTCATGTTGTGGTGACCCCCAACCATAAAATTATTTTCATTGCTACTTCATAACTGGAATTTTGCTACTGTTATGAATCATAAATACCTGATATCCAGGATATATTTTCATTGTTACAAAGGGCTCGCAACCCACAGGTTAAGAACTGCTGCCCCAGGAGGAAATATGCAAGATGCAGAGAGCAGCCACTGTGCTGTACAGGGCCATACAGGTGAGGGGCTAAGGTCTGCATGGGTCAGGGGCCTAGGGCCCTACAGGTGAGGGTACCTTAACACCTGTAGCTGGAACTCCCAAAGGGCTGCTCCTGTGTGGGTCCAACCAGCTCCAGCTGCACAGGGGCCGAGGATACTGGGGATGGGTCAGGGTGGGGGTCATACTCCCCAAATCTGAGGTGAAAATAATAGCCTGGCAGGCCCTGTGTATGCACTGGGCAGCCCTGTGTGGGGGCCAACGGGAGCTCAGGGTTCCCGTGTGAAGGTGGGACTATGTGAAGCTCATGGGTGGGTTAAGATATGACTGCTATTGAGGCTGTAGTAGTTCATTATGGTATGATTTTTAAATAAAAAGAGTGTTGATTTAAATAAAAATCAGGTGGCCTAGGGATATGATGGGTTTGGAGGTGTGCTGGGGGGCAGGCTTGGCCGCTGTGTCTTCTGTGACACAGACATGGGGGAGTGACCACTGGCCTTAGAGCCACTTCCACCAGAGGTGAGGAAGGTGAGGGAGGGCCTGGCTCATGCTCTCAGAACTGGGGGAACCTGCCCCCTTGGATTTTATTGCCTAGCCGCCTGACCTTGAGAAGCCTCAGTTTCCCTACCTGAGTGGAAGGAGGGTGGTCAGGAGGGTAATGAGGCTGCATGAGCATGTGGTTCGGCAGGGTGTGGGATGCCAGCCTTGGGCTTCCCCTTCCCCCTGGCAGCTGCTGGTGGATGCTGCTCTCCCAGGTCTGTGCTCCCTGCACCTGGTGCTGGGGTGCAAGCTGAGGTCCTACTACACTCCAGGCATGGAGTAGTGCAGGCAGATTCTGGGAGTTGGTGGAAAGCTAGCTCCGGGGCTTCTTGGGGCATCTGGCATGTCCTGAGTACTACCCTGGCCTGGTGGGGTTGACCCTACCAGGCCTTTCCTGGTACCCCCAAAGCTCTCGGTTCTAAGCTATGCTCTTACCTGTCCTCTGGGCCTCCTATCTGCTGCCATGATTGCAGACTCCAAGGCCAGTCTGCAGCTCCCACTAGGCCCTGGTCTGGGGATTGGGCCACCATATCTAGGTGCACACACCTGGGGTCCTGTAGCCATTCCCACATCGGACCCCTTGCCAATTTCTCAGAATTCTGCTTCAGTTTTCAGCAAGGGATGGAAAAGCCAGCTCACACGGGCATAAACAAAAGATGAGAGGTGGGGTAGGGGAGGCCCAGGGCCCTGCCATCCCCCTTGAGGCCAGGCTGTGCCCTGGCATCAGCCTGATTCTCATAAGCCCATGGTTGCCTGTGCATCCAGGGGACTCCCTGGCTCAGCTATAGTTGGCAGCCCATCCCATGCCCTATTCCTCTTGTAGGATGGAGTTCAATAGGGTAGAGGATCGGGCTCCCCACGGAAAGTAAGTGCCTTGGCCTGGGTATCCCCAGGACAGCATCTGAGAGTCTGTAGGCAGATCTTTGGAGGGTGAATCCTAATGCACGTGTGAGGGGTATCACATGGCCAAGGAGAGTAACCACTTCAAACCCAGTGTTGCTGTCTGCAGCCTCCCTGCTTCCAAAGAGCAGCAGAGGCATCTTCCCCAAACATAGCCCTTTGAACCGTGCTGTCCCCAGAACCCCAGTGACCCCACAGAACCCTGTTTTCCCTAGAACCTTGTTGTCCCACAGAATCCCTCTGATCCCTGGAATCCTGTTGTATCCTAGAACTCCCTGGTACCAGAGTCTGTTGTCCCGGAACTGCACAGCCCCCTGAACCCCATTGTCCTTGCAAACCCACTAACCCCCTACAAACTCAGGGTGAAGCTGAGACCTCCAGTGATTTTGGACCCTGCCTGTCTGGAGCTGGCCCCAGCTGTGCTACTGGCCCCTGAACACCCTCTTCATGCCTCGGTGGCTGTGTTGGCTTGACCTGTGTGGGGCAGGAA